GGTTATTATCGTAGTCTTTACTCGCACGGGTGAAATCCTATAATATCGGTCGCGAGCAAAGGGTCTATTAAATTTGGGAATATGGCTAAAGATGCCCTCGTGGTCGAACACGAGGCCTCGTACGATTTACGGTGACAAAAATTATCTAGACACGCGGGAGCCCGCTTGGTGTGTGGAAGACACGCGGTAGCCTGCAGAGTGTAAGAGTGTGGATCTGGCACCTTTGTTCGAGTTTCCTTTTTCTGGTGAGTACTCACAAGTTGAGCCATTTCGTTAACCGTACACCGCTGTCTCCTGGCTAAAATATTTTGTTCTTTTTGTTTAATTGAATTTACTATCGATTTATCGGGTTGATTCCGTAGCGAGTAAGGGGTATCACGATAGAATATATACCTGTCCCGAAAGCCGCGTGTGGGTCCCTGAATTGGCCAGTAATCGCTTAATTAAAATATTACGTCATCATTAATTATTTTTGCAAGTATTCTTCAAAATAACATTATTTATGTGAATGATACTTCAGGGACAGTCCTCAAATTAATGCTACTTGAATGAGCGATACTTTGAGGACACTTCTAAAATCAGCAATAATTAAGTAATTTTATTCGAAAGTTATTTTTAATTTTTCTTAATTTTTTTTATATTTTAAATGAATTTATGTATTTAAATAAAGATAGTAGGGTCTGAATATTTATTGTCTTAAAATTGAGCTGAATCAAATAACTTTAAAGCAATTCTTTTGTTGATTGGTTTAGAGATAACTTAAATCAATAAAAATTGTAGCACCGTTTTTATTTCCTAATTAAAAAACATAATTTGGAGTTTTAAACTTTATGTTACACTTATATTTATATGGGTTTCTAATTAGATGCTTTTCAATGATTTTAAATTGTTTTAAACTATTGTGAATTATGTTTTTAAACAAGGTTATTAATGTGACCTTAATATTATTTTAAGGAGACGATATATTACATGAAAAAAAACTTTTCTTAAATAATAAAAATTTTAATACGATAAAAAATATCGTTTCTTTGTCAAAGTACTTTTATATCCCGATTTAAACATCATAAGTATCTCATATAAGACTAGAACTAAAAATTTCGCATCGGTTATAATTTTCGTCTTTTTAGCTAGTTGATCTATATGACTTTCATTAGCTTGCATTATTATTAGGCTTATTTATACGTTATCTTTATTCCACTACTGTGGATGTTCCTACACATAATAATTTATTTATCCATTTATTTGAAGTTTTTAAAAACTTTCATAACTCCTATAAAGTCCCAGACAATCATAAAAGAAAAAGTTATTTCACAACATTTCAGAATATAATAAAATTGAAATAAATACAACACTGTTGTATTCGTACCAGCTGTATAGAACTCATAGAATCCAAGATTTTTCAATTAAAATATAATTTTTTAACATAAATATTTACATCATTAAATCTAATTCTACTAGTTTATAATTGTCTAAGATTAGTTTTCAATAATGTTTGCTTAACATTATTTAAGGGCTTAAAATTTTATCAAGTCATGCACAATTTTTTTTAAAAAGTTATATGCTTTTTTTCTCATTTAATGAAATGAAACTCAAATAACGAAAAGAAAAATTCTACAATAGCTCATAAAAATGAATGAAATTGAATTAAAATTTATCGTTTATGATGGTTTTTTTTTATAACCAGCTACACAATTTATCCTGTCATTTTAACCACAATTCCTCTAAATAAAAAAAAAATCAGATGTAAACAAATTATTATTCATACAATTTTTCATGTATTTTTAAATTAAAATTTATTCGAATCACAAGTAATTAAGAACCACTTAAATAATTTCGTGAATTAAACATAAGTTTTATAAAATATTAGAATAAACACATCCACAATAAAGTATTAGAATTATTTAATATATTTTTTTTTTATTTTTGTACACTTCGAGAGTACAAAATTATTTTTAATGAAATCTTAATAACCAAAAGCATTTATTTTCACTTAAACATAAAACTATATTATAAGGAAGGTTTTTTATTCTAATAATCTTTTCTTTAACAGTATTTTTTGTAATACTCTTTCAGCTCAACTTTTTTTTTTTAAATATAATCTTTAGATATAGAATTGCCTCTGTCCGGTATTACAGACTGGATAGTTTTTCTTTTAAAAACTATTTTATAATTCGTTAAAAAAAAAAATTAAAAAAAAAATGCAAGTTCTTTTGCTCAATCTACATTCAAGTTGAAAATTAGAGCTATATACGAAAAGTGATACTATTTTATCACGAAAAATATTAAATAAAAAATTTAATAAGAGCAGAAAAAATTGCGCTCAACTATCCGTTGAGTTTTATTCAATTCTTTATTTTTAAAACACATTGTATTTCAGTGTTTTTAAATTAAAAATCTCAACGAAATATTTTTTATCCTCACGATCAAATTATAAAAAAAAAATTATCGTTAGGGCTACTAAGTATTAATTGTTAGTATGATTTAATTTTCAGCTTTGAAATTCTCAACTTCAAAAAAATTCAACAATCTTAATCTCGAAACACTTTTCTTTACAGTAAAAAATATTTAAACAATCAGTTATGCATAGAACATTAGCATTTTTTTTTAATTTAAACATTTCAAATAATCACAAATTTTTCTACCGTAACAATATCAACTTAAACATGTATTAATTAGCCCAAATACTTAAAATTTAGAATCGCAATTCTACACTGAGAACCGTACCCTGAATGAATACGTATGTTTTAACTATGTGAAAGTCTTTTTCGCGAATCTATCAAAAAAATAATAATTTGCATAAGCTATTATAAGACTACAATGCACAATTTTTATAAGCTGAAATATTTCATCAACATAACTTAGAATTACAGATCTAAAAAAAATACTCAGTGACTTAAATTTATTTATTTTGGTTTTAGAATTACTGCGAAAAGCTTTGAAATTGCTCAATTATTAAATCATAAACTCATAGATTTTCTAAGCCAAGAAATGGCACTTTAAGATGCTGCTTAGTCCATAGTGTAAACTAATTATTTAATCAAAAACAATTTTAATGTTTTTTAATTTAGCACTTATTTATGAATAAATGAACATTTTACTGAATAAAATTCTCCAAAGATAAAATATATTAGAACATTTAACTTCAATAAGAAAAATAACAGTATATATTTTCTAACCCATAAAAAAATAATAATTGATATTTTTAAAACAAAAAATAATGAAAAAATACGCCTCAGTCAGTAGTCACCTTTTCTCGTAATATTCTAAAACTATTAATCAGACTATTAATCATATTATTCTAAGCATGTTATTTTTATCTATTTATAAGAAACAAAAATAATTAGTACTTTTTTAACGCCTTAGATGTGTCTTATACATTTTAATCTGATAAGGATTTAGAACTTTTGCCTTCATTTTTCTTTTTTCGGTATCGCTCTTTTCTTTCCGCAGCTCGTCTGTAATTATCGACTTGCGCCCTGACCTGAATTGCTGTCCTGTTTTTCAAAGCATCGTACTTTCGTATGAGCTTTTGGCACGTTGCTATATTTGGAGTTTTTTGTACTGTTTCCAGTCTACCAAAATATTTAATAAGACAATTTATCTCAGCAGGTAACCATGTATTACGGCTAATTTTATTCTGATCGGCACCTAAAGATATTTAAAGTATTTCATTATTTCTCGATTCTATATTATAGTTAGTATTAGATGTAAAATATAACTTGTTTGCGATAATCAATTACTCTTTTGAAAAGTTGCTTAATCACCTGTACAATATATTTTTTAGGCTTAAAATTTATAAGCTTGAATCAATTTTTTTTCTCAAGGAAAAAAAAAACAAATATAGATATTAAGAGAAAGTTAAGTATAAATAAAGAAGCAATTTTTTTCACAAACAAGTTATTCTCAGACATTTCTATAAATTCACAAATGTATATAATTATAAAAATTAAACTGACTGCCTTACTTTGAGTAGGGGTTCTATCAGATTCAACGTCTGAAGTATATTTCCTTTTTTTAGTTGATGACTTCGGCTTAGAAAAGCCAACTTTGCGGCTTGAATTCTCAATATCCGAATTTTCAGCAGTAAGAACTTTAGCATGACGTTTTCTTGAGTGCTGGCGAATTTTTTTGCGGTTATTATTATCGTAATTATCATCTTTATCAGCATTAACAACATTTTCACACGGATCTGAGGTTTTGTCGTCAATTTCGCTGTCGTCATCGCTATTTCCATCATAATCTTCGTCGGAACTACTATCAGTGTCGCGTTCGTCCTCATCATTTCCAATTGCAACTTCAAGAAGATGAGCAACTTTGGTCATTTCAGTAAGAGGAGTCGGCATTTGATAATAATTTTTGTGAATATCTTTGTGGTGACCCATAAACGATGCAAGACGCTCTACATCCGTGTCCTCAATGCCGATCATCGCAGTGTACGTAGCAATTTGTTTTCTGAGAGAAGTTCCTCGAAGTGCACTTGGTACTTTAGCTCCACATGCAGCAGAAAATTTTCGCATGAGAGGACATGCTCTAAAGTAAGGTTTCTGCAAAGCATTTTTTGTGGGACGGCCAAACAGATAATTGTTACTCTTCTTAACACCTGCTAGTAGGCGATATTTCTTCATCAGCTCTACATATTCTAAAATGTACGAATGTACTAACATAGACACCGGCTTTCCAAGTTTTCCGCGATTAGATATTCTCACAAACTTCTTTGCTATTTCTTGAGCAGGTTTTGACAATTGATTGAATAAATCTTTATTTATGTTTCGACCAACAGCATCCTGATTAACAAATTGATCAATTGATAGTTGTTCAGTATCTCCAGCTCTTTTTCTATTAAAGATTTGTATTAAAATCAAGGTACAGTGTGATAATTTGGTCCAAGCCTCTAAGTTGAATCCTTTTTTAAAATGTCAGCAGCTTTGTCACCTTCTCTTTTAACATAAGTATGCAGTAATTTAATATCATTCTTTGTTGGCATAACTAATTGTTTCTGGCTCTTCTTAACTGCTTGGTCTTCAATAGCTTTTCTATTAACCAATTGCTGAACTTCATCTTTCCACAAGTCTATAAATTCCTGAACTTCTACTTTGCGGTTTTTTAACTCTTTTTTTATGCATTCAGATTGAAATCTAGAAGCAACTTTTCTGACCATAGTTGTCATTTTAGTAGCAACTGCTGGAGTATCGAACATAAGCTTTTTTTTTATTCCATTTGGCCATAATTTTTAACGCTTTCACGGCTACATCGACGTATTTTGGGTGAAAAATCGAAGAATACTCTTTAATCTCTGGATTTAAATCCATTATAGTTATTTTGTGTTTGCCAAGGTACCGCAAGTCAGAGCGAATCATATCGTGGTGACGAATGTGAGGATATTTATCACACAAAAAATTACCGTACACTATCAAAATTTCATCAAATGCGATTTCATCCTTTACATTATTGTCATTTAAAACTGGAAATATTGTTGTCCGCAATAATTCGTTGGCTCTCTCATGTATGTAGCAAACTTTACGGCGGCTCATACTTAGAATATCATGGACACCCGGCTGGTGATCAGGAATACATTTTTTTGTATGAATACGTAAAGTTTGCTTTGAAAAATAAGCATTGCACTTACTGCAAGGTACATAGTCACTTGCTTTTCGTTTACTACCAACCTGACATCGTCTACTAGTTATTATAATACCTTTATTTAGTTCCTTGTTGGTGTTATGTAATAATGTACCCTCATTACGAATAGCAGTAATTTTATCTGAGCGCTGTTGACTTTTTAAAGGAAGTTTCAAAAACTCTTTGACGGAACTTTCACTTTTATGGCGAGATTCAAGATGTCGAGCAAATTTTGTGACCAGCTCCTTACAATATTTGCAGAAATATTGTTTCGAGGTTATTGCTGGTTTTACAATTGTATCATCTTTGGGTACGAATTTCGAAGATGGAACTATTAAATTATCAACACGAAAAGGAATGATAGCCTCGAATGAAGATGATTTGTTGATACTAGCGATTTTTGAGTCATCATTTTTATTACTATCATTACTTTTTGCTACTCCGCTACTATCAGAGTCAAAGTCGGGGTCATTGTTATTGGATACTTTCGAGTTTTCGCTTTGAGTAGTTTCTAGTTGACTTTCTTCTACGTTTTCTAAATCAACAATTTTTTTAGGATTAGTTGCTTTATTTTTTTGCTGATTAATAACTGGATTGTTTCTTATTTTATTTTTTTTTAGTTTTTTATTCTCAGGACGCTTGACATTAAACTTCTTAGAACTGTATTTTTGTTTTCTATTTTTTCGATGATCAATTACAAAATTTTTTTTATTAAATTTATTTTTTTTTAATTTATTTGACGTTTGACGCTATTGTTTGAAGCTTCATTAAAGCTCACATCGGCACTGTAGGTAGACTTTTCATTTTCTGGGAGGTTATTATTAGAAAGTTGGATTGGAGAGTTATTGATAGAATTATTTGTTTCCAAATTAAGAAAGTTAGATTTTTGTAGATTTGATGTAAATGAAGACTCAGTAGAACGACTATCAAACATTTCTAGAAGCTTTGAAGGAATGCTGGGCGCAGGACTTTCCGATTGTGTGGAATCTGTTCTTGTTGAATCGTACGATTTCCTGATGTCAGACAATCGAACTACTAAAGTTGGCTGATTTTTTAGATTAACAGGAGTCGAAACATAGTAATCTTGTTTTTTTTTCAGGTAAAATCTTTGAATCATCAGATGATTCATCAGATGATGTAAGGCCACCTTCTGAACGAACTTTGATTCTCCATTTTTCGAGAAATGATTTCGAATCTAAAAGATATTTAATATTAGTAAAAAGAGCATTTAAAAAAAATAGTTACAACTTAGTTAAAATAAAAGTAATAAGATACTAAATTTACTAATAATTTATGAAATTTCGATTTAACTATAGAGCTTACGATACATGATAGTAATATATGAAAAAAAATATAAAGTCAGATGTAATTCAATTAAAGGTTAAGGAGCATTATACTTATTTGCATATTATATCTGTAAAATATCTGTAGATACAAATTTTTCGTACCTGATTTTTTTATTAATTTCACAGTACTCTTTGCACCGGAATGAGATTCATACTCAAAGTAGGACTGTGAATTTTTTAATTTTGATAGTCTACTTGAAGTCACAATAGATAAATTTTTTGCCTTACATTTAATTAATGAAAACATTTCGACAAAAGTAAATTCTTTAAATAAAAAATTTGATTAGTAATTAAACAAAATAAAAAAAATAAAGATATGTCAATCGAGAAAGCTTACTTTCTACCGTGT